TTTCCTGGCGGTGATATTAGCTTAGTGGATCCTTTTACATACGCCACAGCCGCACACATGACATCTACTTAGTACACAATGGTGTTGGCAATTTTTGTGGTCATTTCATTACCGATTACTAAGAATTATTTTTAATACATTTTATTTAATTGTTTTTGTCATTCTATTTTTATTTTTGTTTTAAATTAGTTTTATCTTTTTTTTTTTAGTTCTTACTGTGTATTATTGTGTTGTGGCGTTATGTAATGAAATGGTCTCTAATCTATTGCATACTTGTACAGTTTTATATATGTATATGCTTATTGGTATACAAGTATATTTAACATCACAACGACGTTGAAAAAAATAATTATGCTACCAACGTCTAAATAATATCATATAATCGCTTAACGCTCATGCATATTAATGCTCTGTGAGGAGGATTTTGTCGATCTTTTTTGTATCTACTGTGTCATGATTTAAAATGAAGTAATGAATAACCAGCATAATTATTAGTACATTGTGTATTGGTAAATAAGAAATTATGAAGACTCTTAGAAGCCCGAAGTTGAAGACTGAGGATTTTCGAAGTCGAGGTTCCTAATTCCCGTACCGCCCGGGTTACGTATACCTAATCTTTTTATAGAAATAAACACAAATATAGATGCATGAAAAATAAGTATCACTTCACAAAAATCACAAAATATTATATATTAATTCTTATAGAGATACAACTCCAACTAAAATGTTGTAACAGGCTAAAACGTATGCAGCCATGATGTATGCGACGTAAAATAAATCATTTCAAAATACCAAAAATACTGCAGAATTTGAATTTATAAAAGTAATTTTGTAAAATATAGTTCAATTGCAAATGTCTTTTTTTCTATACCTCAAGCTTATGCGAAATACGTTCAGATTTTTCGAGCATAAAAGCTTTTTGCTTAGTGTTGACGTTAAAAAGTACAGTGTAATTAAATTAAAAAATAAATCCATTACTGCCTTAAGGCGGTACTGAAAAAGTCCGTGGGCGTAATTTAGAACATTACGATCAACTTTGCCTGCATGTTAAGACATTGTTTACGAGCAAGTGTGATAAAAAAATTGAGTCTGTTGCCGAAATAAGTTACGTGTTAACTTAGATGCTCGGGAAACTCAACATCGTTTATGACTCATCTTCGAGGTTGCGCCGGATCGTTAGAGACTGTAAATTTACAGTATTCATCAACTTGGTTTATGATTATTATATTACTGAACAGTGTAATGCGACACTGTGAGTAACACAAAATTTATTGTGAGGTTTGAACATTTATTAATATTACATCGCTACAAGTTACTCTTGGTGTACATTATAACAGTTAATACTAGTTGGTTTATTGTGCTCATTGAATATATAAACATATTGTATATAATACATAAGCAATAACTTTTGCAAAACGTTTTCAATGGCGGATGGTATTGTTCGCGAGTGCTCTGGATTATTATTATTCTGTTGTGGAGGTGTCTACGTCACCAGGTATTCTACCAAGCAACTGTTTTAATTATAATAGCAGTTTCGTCACAAACTTCAATAGTTTACAAAAGAGGTCACGCATGACACCGACCAGCTCTATTTGTTTAGACCGGCAGCGGTAGCGGTTTTCCAACAAACTGTGGCTCACTACCTACTTGTTGATTGTTTAAACACCTACTTTGTTAGAAGTCTAGAATTTCTACGTGACTCAGGTTTGTTCTCAATATATTTATAAATGATTTTTGTAAGTTTACATAAGCGTAGCATCGAGCAGCATTGCGACTGCAGCACAATTGCAAGAAACCAATTGGAATGCAGTTAACGTAAAGTCAGTACGCTAATAAAAAGGAAACATAAATGTATATAGAAAATTTAAATGTGTTTTTTGTGTGATGCCAAGTGGCGGGACGAGCAAATTGTGCGCTTGGAGGTAAGTGACACGCCCGTCCTGCAATAGTAGTTGGATTGCACATGCCGTTCAGAGCTTTTAATCGTAAATATCTCAGGGGCACTGCACTGAGCTGAGGGTAACATACCCTGTTTACAGTATGAAATAACTCGAGTTAGCAATTGACATCCAATTATTTCAATTGTATTGTGACAATTCTGGCGCACCCAAGAAAATCTATTATATGACATTTTGTATGTTAACGGTGTTAGAATGTGATGAACTCGAAAACGGTTGACAATTATTTGAACTGCTTTCAAAATGCAATTTTGTAGTCGGGATGCAGTCCGATTGTTGCTCGTATGACTACGTATTAGTGATAACCCTGCAGCGGGCTATATATGTATAGGCTGATAATGATACAAACATATCAACTTAAGCCATAATTATTATTTACGGAACGAAAACCAGAACGTGATTCAAGAGATGATTATAGAAAAATACAAAATTAATAATAACGTATCTACAAAGACGAAGAGGAAACAATATTGTTTATAATCAAACAATCATCCTAATCTATACCCTGTAGGTATTATTACGGTAAGGTAATAAGTCGTAAACGGATTTACAATAATTTCCCTGAGTACCTGAGTTGTCACAAAACAATGAAAATTGTGCAAGAAGAATATCTAATTAGATATTGTTGAGAGAGAACAAATACATAATATCTTTCGGAAACGAAACGATTGAGAATTTTTTCATAAAATTAAGGTATAAGACTGTAAGAATTAAGATATTAGTTTATTGCTTTTGTTTTGGGGTCGCCAATTATCTTGGATGATTTAATTCTGTACAAAGGTGTAAAAATATATCAGAGTATATAGGCAGTATATCTTTCCGTCTCATTTCAAGCGACTCCAGGCAGACCATCCCAGAAAGGAACAGCGCTTGGAAAAAAGCACTGTCTCAACAATTAAGGTTTGTTTTACTTTTCGTGGATACCATACTGTTTATTTATATCAAGTGAAATCATTCATGGTCCACCCTTGCACAATTCCAGCATGTGCCGGCATGGCGACTCGCACTATTGTTATTTTTTTAATTACGGCAATTTCCCAGACGCTCTCATCGGTGACACGCGAGCGTTAAAAATACCACACCGTCCGTGTTAGGGTCAGTTCACACTTAGTCTTACTTTTCGTCACATCTGTCGGCCGTCGTACTCGTTGTTTTTGTAATAAGTCATTGAACGCATTGCAAGGCAAGGTTTACAACCAATTTGACAAAATAATATTATTTGTGAAAGAGAAAACCACTTAATATTATTGATTATCTAGATTTTTGGTCTCAATTTTTTGTTAGTGTTCGTTAAGAGGAATTAATATACTATTGTAATAATATAATACACTGTTGTACGTAGGCCTTTCTCAATGTGTGCCATTTTGCCCGTTCCTCAGCCTGTCGCATCCGTTGCCAGTCAGCGTCCTTTCGCAGTATCACTTAACCTGACCGGAAGGCATCCTACACTACGTTTGCTGAGAAGTGCTCTCTACCCAAGAACTTTATTACGCGTTGTTCGATAGTAATTAATGGGTTACGTCTATTCAGATTATTGGCTACTTATGAATTTACGTGTTTGGTTGATATTCTAAACTAGAGTGTTTGAGGTGATTTCATATTTCTACAAAGAAATAATTATAAATAAATACATCTAGTGCTACCGATAATGGTTACCATAACGAAATTTTTAATTGCCATGGCCGTGACGGTTCGTGACCAATACTTTATGTAGTTGCCTATACATCCGTGGCCAATGATAATATACTTATGGGTTATTTGTTTTATACGTTATGTTAAACATATAGACAGAGCGGACCCGGAATACTTTGCAAGTTTTTTTAACTACATTTTTTATCGAGGATAACCAGTTGATAATTCTGCCTGCCCTACCTTACAGAACATAGGTGCGCACTTATCGGATGGTGTCATGAATTTATTGACACAAGGAAACATGAGTAAAAATTGACACATACGAAAGTATTGGAAAATGGTGTATTCACTGTGGCCCTCTCCCATTCGAAAATGAGCACGGGCGGTAGGTGGCACCACCGAAGCAACTGAGAACCGTTAAAGGATCAAATATGTCAACCGTTGCTAGTGCTACAGCTTTCTACTTTTTGAAAAACCTGAGGTTCTAAGTGCCGCAGGCAAAAGTCCTGGCAAAGAAATTTTCAATTCGTCTCGATTGGTGCTTCCTGGAGGCTGAGGGAGGATAGCTTAGAAGAGGCTTCCGCTAAAGAAGTCTTTGATCTATCCTTAGACCAAACATATACCAGCTTCCACGACACGAAGCATTAATTTTGTTTAGGCATATCTAGTATACGTTATTTAACAATTTTTTTTGACGCTATGACTTCTTTCCTTTCAAGATTAGAACATTATTCTCTTATTTATATGTAGATTTATACTATAAATATCAGTTAAGGAACATGAAACCTGTTCCCGTGTGTTGGTTGAGGAAATAACCTATAATTTTAGGTGGCTGGTTCATATGAAGTGTTCGTGGAAAGGTTTATTAGTTTTTGTGCCGCATTCTCGAATTTGCTAGTGACGTATAAAGTTAAATATCCCAAGGTTGCTGTCGCCAGCGATAGTCATGCCTAGAAATGTCGCAACTATTTCTATAAACACTTGTCAATGATCGTGTGTTGTTGCGATCGCAGCGCCTGAAGCAAACACGTAGGTACGGTTCTATTTTTATAGAGTGCAACTTAATATTTTTAGTAGTGTTACCAAGTGCCAAGAAGTAGTGTTACGACTGTACTCTTAACAGCAAGATTATTTCCGCTAGGATCCCTTAACCGCTCACCACACTCATCGACACGGAATCGCATTAAGCTGATCAAAAAAGCTTTACCTCTTTTGAAACGCAGAATGGCTTTTTCGACCTTATTGCATGGACACAAAGCTTTTTCTGAAAGGCTCATGTCAATTTCGCGTTAGTAGGTGTGGTGGCCTTAAGCAGCATAATATCTTCCACTTGGACAGTGCTGTGAGCAAAACTGTTGTGTTGTATTTTTGTTCAAAATTTAAAAGTAAGGAATGTACAGTAATACGTACTATGTTTGTAGATGTGTAGAAAGGAGCAGTTAGTCCCCGCGGTATCGCAGGGTCGTCTCAAATAGCGCTCCAGTCCCGGCGGCTACAACAGGATGACTCTCGTCAGTCCACGTCAATACTAACGCACAGCTCCACTTCGCTTCAGCACCACTCAGCATTCACTCAGCGTTTGTCGCCAGCGATTAACAGCAACATCGTAAAATTTAGTTTTTTTTTTTTAATAATTATGTAAATCAACTGCTAGTTTGGTCAATATTCGTATGTTTACAAAAGTTGCGTAGAAAGCGATAAAGCAAGAGATTGTTCTACTTTTCGCTTATTACCTAGAAATGTTTAAAACAAGCACTCAGCAAATATCACGAAACAAAGACGTATGAATGTCGTATCTCCGTATATATCCGCACGGTAGTGTGCACTTAGCTTAACAAACAACGAAATCTTTACTATTTGTATTTGCGTTGTTAATTTCAAGTTATCTTATTTCGATAATACCTGACTGCGATATATGCTTTTTTGTTTAGCGGATATTTTACATAGTATGTGAAGCAACTTGGTTTTTATTAAAAATATGTTTACGTGATACTGTATAAAATTACGCGGTTGTACTAATTATTTAAATACCCAAACGAAACAATACAGATCCGGTTCTTGTTCTCATAAAAATTATGATTGGTAATAAAACTTTGTAAGCTTGACCTTGGTGAACAGCATGCAGGTAACATAATTCAATATAAACATGTTGAAATTTCAGTAATAAAATAATAATAGTAATAAAAACCCAAAAACAAGACCTAGTATGTGTGCGCAGCCGCACTGACCGTTTCAAATTATACATTCTCAAGATTTGATTAAATTTTATGTTCTTTAATAAACTATTTCGACTAGTTTTGTTATTTACGTAAACCGACTATGAAACATTACTGTAATAATAAGTTTCAGTTAGGAAAAATAGAATTATTTTCTTTCTTTTCAACTTTCATTTTTGCAAATATTGATTTATAAGTCAATATGCCAATATGTTTATAAGCCAATATGTACCAAGGCCAAAATATTTTGGCGTCAAAATGCCCAGTCAAAATAAAATTTACGTTATGCCTACAATATAATGGCAAAATGAGGCAGGTAATAAAATCGTACGATGAGACCTTCGACCGTGTCGTCGTTATTTTATTACAATAATTACATTGTTTTGTTATTGTACTAAACACTAGTTCATGTGTGAAGACAGGACAGGTTGTCAAGATACTGCTTATTGCTACCCATCGTATAGAAAAGAATAGACAATTATTTAATATCATAAATATGCGTATTTTTAAAAGGTATGTGTGTTTTCTATCGAGATAGATAACAAATTGTGTTATTTGGAAAATATCTGAAAATTATACAGCGTCAGCGACGTTTTGAAGCTATGATATTTGAGTATAGCCGGACAGGGTCATGTAATGCAGTTAAAAAACAAATTTTGTGTAAACTTCAAAAAAAATGATCAAAAGAAAGGCATTTTATATATTTAGGATATCGACTGTGAACTAGCAATCGGTATTATCTCAATTTTGACAACTTTACAGGATGGAGAAAATAATTGTTTTGCGTTTTTATATATAGCATCTGGCTTATTAAATAAAAATACGTAATTTTTAAATATTTTAATTACACACATTTATATACACTACGTATTTTTATTTAATAAAACAGATGCTATATAAATGATTTTTTCTTCATCCTCTAAAGTTGTCAAAATTGAGACAGTACCGGTTGCCAGTTCACAGTCGATAGTCCACATAGAAAATATTACACTTTAAATAGTGAACCATACTAAAGAACGTCACAGCATACGATAGCAACAATTTGAGACAAAATGTATAAAAGTTATGATAAAAACAAAGAGAAATTATTTGAATTTATGCATATGTATAACCATTAAATGTACTCATAATTAATTAAAAAAATTATAAAACTTAGGAGAAGTGACGAAACTGTCTGTCACATCTCTCTCTCTCTCTGTCAAATCTCTAAAATAGATAAAAAATTGTGTTATTTGGAAAAATCTTAAAATGTACCCAGTATGCAGGATTATTTGTAAAATACTAACAACTTCGCGGGACTATGTTACTAAAACATCATAAACAATAACTTTTGTTCCATGAATTTTAATAATTAATCAAATTTTACTTTTGCACAAAAATAAAAATATTTAAACAGATCGCTCTGAACGTTAATAACTCTGTGCCATCACATTCACCACCAGTTATTTTTACGAATGAGATAGCACGCGGAAGGCGTTGCTGAAGACCTTACTTACTAAATGTAGATCGAAAAAGCGTCACACAATACAACAAAAACTAAAAAGTTTCTTTTTGGTAAATATATCATGTTTTGTAAAAAGTCATGGTGCAAAAATTATAGTTTATGATGGTAGTTTTGCGAGGTTGTCAATACGACTGTAAATTTTTTTTATGTATTCTACGCAATAACTTTTTTACCGAACCGATTTTAATGATCCTTTTTTGTTCAAACGAGGGTACCTCAGTATTAGTTCCATTTAAATTTGAAGAAAATAGTTCAACTCTAAGGGTGGCAAACTAGGGGATGAATCCAGTTTCGCGCAATTCCAGGTAACCGATTTCAATGAAATTTGGCAATAGATGTAACTCTATGAACTTTTTTTTAGTACCCTGTACTGAGATTATGGATTATGAATTAATAGGAAGTCCGTATGAACCTATATGTCATGTCACTTCTAGGTACGAGTCTCCTTTGAGCAGTGCGTTCAGTTAATTAGAAGTTGAAGTTAAGTTGTTGAGTGGTGACACCGCCAATAAGTTCCTTTTGTATATTACATTAGTTGTAATTAGGCATTATAGGTTACACCACAGACCACATAAATACTAGTACACTCAGTTGTCAACAAAAGTGTTGAAATAAATATAATAAATGTTTGTAATTTAAGTTTCTACTTAAATAATGAAAGTTATTGTAGTTGTAGTCTTCTTCTAAAATCTAATCGAATATGAAACATACAATTATGAGGAAAAATCTGTTTCAATACCTTTATATTATTTTCCTGTTTGTTCTGCACAATTTTCGTTTGGGGCTTTTTTCAAAAGCAATAAAAACAAAAAACGTGTTTAATTTTGTCATTATAGAAATATTCAAGTTTCGCATGTGTGAATTATACATATTATTGAGAATATTTGGATTTCGCAATTTTTTGTAAATGTTTGCCGGCTTAAGGACTTGCAAATTACACTGAGCTTATCAGCGTGAGGGATATGACACACTTCGCCCTTAACGAAGTGTTCAGAGGGCACATTATTCCTGATTCACGTTGTAAAATCGATTAAACTGTTATAATGGAATGTCGATTACTTTGCTACGTGGTGTCAGCGACATGACGTTCCTACAGAAGGACGTGACGCAGGTACTATTCGAGTAACGTGATGAGTTGCCTTTGTTTTGTCGGGAGCCATTAATGGACTATAGCAATTACCTATCGACTAAGTAAAATATCTATTAAGCTTTTGTCATTTACAACTAATCAAACAAACAAAGGCGATAAAAAAGTAAATACTCGTCAAGATTTTTTTGGGGAAACCAAAGAGCTTTTGGTTAAACGACGGATTTTTTAACCAAGCAATGGATGCTAATTATGCGTTTCAAAGTAATTTTATCGCAATAAAAAAGTCGTCGCAAAGATTTGCCACAACAAATTATTAACATTATTCATTAACGGATGCCCAGCGACGATAAATAGCCACAGCACGAGCTGGTGTTTTTGCTTTACTCTTAAGTGTGTCGAGGTTTAAAACATTTGCTTTAAGTGTTGTTGTTGTTGCTGAGCTCTTTTTGGTGATCGGGCCTAGACTAAATTTGCACCTAAATTTGCAGAGCAAGCATTGACTTACAAATAAATGGACGACGGGTCTGATACAAAAACCACGAAAAAAATGACCCAAGTCAACCTATTTAAACTTAGTGACATTTCAAGGAATATGAAAAAGCTAAAACGTTGAATTTAAATTGTAATGTCATCGCAGTACTGTCTAATTTTGCTTGCTTCGCTGTCAGTCGAACAAACGAAGACTAGGCCATATAATTGTAAGTCAATGAGAGCAAGCATTATAATTTCCATAATCAATAATGATTGTAATGAATATTATCATGTTTTACTATCATGATATTCAGTTATTTTTGTCGCAATGGTATGGCGCAGACGCAGCACAGTGATTCGTCTAGAACTAGCTAGCTGGACAAAAGTATTTTCGGCGGCATTTAGTTTTGAATGCCTCTGCTAAGTCGAATTATGAACATTTCCAGTGTTCATAATCCTCGGATTCTACCGAACTAGGTACTTCAGAAATTGAAATGCGTTTTAGAAGGAGCAACATTTTTATTTAGAAAATAAACAGAAACAAAATCTAATGTTATTATAACCAATGAATTATGTTAAAATAAAAATAAATTAGCACAATACGTGTATAATTAAACTACTTACTTACTAAATAATAACTAATTAACTAATGTAATACATTAAACTTACTTATTATTCTACTAATTTAAAACTTTTACATTTCTAAGTTATATCAGTTAGAAATGATTATATCTATATGAGGTCATTCGTCGTCCCTGAGCTCGTCCTCCGAAGAGTCGTCAACACAATAATCTTTGTGACTAGTAACAGATTCGTTAGGAGCTATAATTATTTTAGGAAAACTTGGAATAATTAAGTCTAAGACTTCGGAAGGGAGACAACCTATCTTCTTTTGCAGAATGTCCCTGAGGCTATTAATTACAGGATCAGATGTAATTATTAACATATTAAGTAAGTCTGTGTTCGTGGCTATACGTGACTGTTTTCGTGCATTATCTTCTCGAAATCTTCTGTAATCTTTATTTCGAGCTTCTTGAGCTTCTTCAGAAAGCTGGCCGATTGGCAAAAGCCGATTGAATAATATCTGTACTATGTACAAGTAATTTATGTACAGTTGTTGGCATGTAATACCACGAATACAGACTCAAATACAGTTTTCTTGTTTCTTGTGCTATATGTTGAAATTTTTCTAAATTGATATCATATCCGGA